AACATATCACAAGGAACTCGAGGCAAGACATATAAGTCATGAGATAAGAAGTGAATTCAACATCACTACACAAGTTCTCTAAAGAACAACAAAACATTGAAAAATTAGACAAAACAAAACCCTAAGGTCACCATACTTAACAAAGCAAGGCATCAAAGCACTTAGACATGGATTCAAAAATCAACAAGTCTTCACAAGAAAATGATTAAAAAAACTTCAAGTTGTAACCTTAAACATGCATTAGGTTATATTCTACCCTAACTAAGGTAATTTCAAATTGTAAAGCTAAGGTATCAAACCAAAACATCAAGTAAGATTGACATACATCTTTAAGAAGAAACAACTTCAAATTAAACATCTAATTCAAAGTATTAACCCACATTCAAAGTTTAGAGGTAACAACCCAATCATCATGGACTTTAATAATTAACTCAAGGGAGTTCATAGCATCATGGGAAAAACCCTAAGATTAAAAATATGAAAGAAAGATTGGCAATCAACATAAAGTTTCAAACATCAAGGTTAAAACCCTAAACATGCTTCAAGATCTAAATCCTAAAGCAACAAGTAAAATTCAAAGAATAGAATCAACATATGTCAAAAGGTAAACACAAAAGCATAATTTCAAGACCCTAAGGTTCATGATTCTAAGGATTATGCATTAGGGTTTCAAGACCTAAACAATTCATTCACCACAAGAGTGCACAAGGAAACAAGTGTTCAATCATCAATATGTTATCAAAACTTAGTATACAAGGAGGTTTCAAAGTATAAGATGAAAAGGATCATGACATGGAAGAATTTTAACCAAAAGATTCAATTCAAATATAGATTAAAGCAAAGATAAGTTTCAAAGGAAAAAATTCACCAATTAGGTCAAAGTTTAGACAAACATCAATAACTTACAACAACAAGGTAATTCACCAAAGCATGGCATAATATTGATCAAAGTGTTAAGGTATTAGAGAATAAAATCATGGAATAAACTCAAGCTAATTATTAAGAAGTTTCATCCAAAAATATTTCACAAAAGCATGTCAAACCATTGCATCAAAATCACAAAGCAATCAACACTTAGTCATGATTCAAGGTTCAAAATAAATCATCTAAACATGGGTTCAATTAGGTTAACATTTAAAACCATTTCATCATGTAATATTTAGGCATCAAAGTGTCCTAACATGGTAAAAAGATTGGCCCTAAAAGGATTCAAACTAGGCATCATACATGGTTCAAAACAATTGATCAAAATAAAAACATACCTTTAATAAAAAGGCCTCTAACAAAATCAAATAAAAATGGAAAAATTAAAATAAAATCATGGTATAAAAGATAAGACGCTAAAATACCCCAAACATATGTTTATTATTTTTTATCCCCAAAATAAAATGCAATTAAACAAATAACAAGGCATGGGGGTGCAAAGAAGTAAAACAGAGTGAACTGGATTTAGTTAAAACCAAAATTAGGATAAAAACAAGGAAGGGTGTGGATAACACAATGCGCGCAACCCAGGTCCAATTTCTTAACGTTTTCTCATTTTTCATGTTATTCTGATTTATTATAATTTCTTTAATTAAAAAAAATTTAAAACTAAAAGAAATACGCTGGACCACTGAGGACTTGACACGCATGGCGTTCAAATTTAAAAAAGGTAAAATGCCCTTTTTGGTCCCTTAAGTTTATCTCGGGGTCCATTCAGGTCCCTTATCTTTAAAAAGTTCCTAAGCGGTCATTTAATTGTTCAAAAAGGTCCACGTTAGTCCTTTCCGCCCAATTTTTTGAAAAGACGTTAACTTTTTCTTATGGCATCTGACGTGGCACTTGGTCGTACGCGTGGCATTGCTCATCATTAAGGTCATAAAAATTCTAAAATTTTTCCTTATCCATGGATTCAAACTGTGGTCATTTTGCTTGCTAGGCTACATATTTAACCACTAGACCACTTCACTTTTTTTAATTTAATTTACAAATTAAATATATATTGAAATCTCGATTATTAGTAAAAAGAAGATATTCAACCCAACCAATACTAAACTCAAAAACACTTTCATCTTCCCAGAAACCTATACCAATATTCCATATCTTTAAACTTCAATCAATAAAAATCTAAATGAAAAAACATTATTTATTTTTAGCTCAGTTCTTTTTTCATTGTTAACGATTTTGGGATTTAGGTCACCTATCCGTCGACGCCACCCTCTTGTTGTCACCACCACATCATCGCCATTCACCATGGTTCCTTCTAGGATTTACATATTCGTAGGTTTTGCAGTGAAATTGAGAATGACGGCTTCAAGTCAATGATTTATCTCATCAAATTCGAAGGAAGCGCCATGACAATCATGATGAAGGATGCTAGTAAGAGAAATATCAAAATCGGAGAAAACAATTTTCTATAGTGAATCTCCATTTTCTTCTTTCAGCTTTTTTCGTTGGTGATCAATATAATGGTGTGTGTGTGGGGGGGGGGGGGGGGGGGGGTACTGGTAATATTTAAACTCGTGTGAGGTGTAAAGAAAAGTCTAGCTATTGAGACAAAAAATCACATACAATCGTCCCTTAATTTTTAACAAAGTATAGGAATAAACAAGAGTAATCTAGGCTTTCTTTTTGTTGTAAAATTGCCATGAATGAAGAAAACTATTTGTAGAATATATTTTTAATGTTATATCTCAAAAAGAATATTTAGAATATCGTGGAATATATTTTTTCGATTTCATATATAAAACATTTGGAGGTTTTAAAAAAAAAAGACAAGTTTCTCAAATGGTTAAAGATTGCTCCTTTATCTTCATAAGCATGGGTTCAATTCTTGCATGTAGTAAAACTTAAAGTTTTTCCATTTTTTAATTGTTTAAGATTAAAATAAATAAAATAATAAAATAAAATAATATGTGGAATTCATAATATGCCACATCATATGCCACCCAAGCAAAAGTTGACGTCGTTTCAAAAAATTAGACGGAAAAGACTAACGTGAACCTTTTTGAACAATTAAAGGATCACTTTGGAACCTTTTAAAGATAAGGGACCAAAATGGATCCCGAGGTAAACTTAAGGGACCAAAAAGGGTATTTTGCCTTTAAAAATAATGCAAAACACCAAACCCTAACCACCTTCTTCTCATGGAAACAACCATTGCGCCGGAGGTGGCGACGGTGGAGAAATCTCAAAAAAATGAAAACCAAAACATCCTTCCCACTCATTTTCATATCCTGGTCATTAATCTGGCCATAAGTTCTTTCAATTGTTCCTCAAAAATAAAAAGTCAAGCAAATACATGAAACCCTAGTAGAGCAAGACAAGTTGAAACAACACGTATGATGCATATTCAGAGCCTACTTACATAGGGCTATAGCTCAGGTGATATCTAGCACGCTTCTAGCAACAAACGAGACCTAAAATGATGCATGAAAGAGAGATAAAAAGGGGACTCTGATGATACCTAATAGAGAATGTTTCTTTCCTCTTCAATGTGTGTAATAAGGGTAAGAAAAGATACTAGGAGATTCCTTGAAACTTGAGGAATACAGATTGAGGCTTCATTTGCTTTGAATCACACTAAAACTCTTCAATTAAACTTGACCAAATGAAGAAGAAGGTGAAGTTGTATCACTCAACATGATGCTTTCAGATGCAAAGAGGTTCCTTCATAAACTTTTATGCATGGTAGGGGTGAAGATTAAATCAAGAAATCAAAGAAAAATTGAGAGAAATGGAAGATACGATTTTGAGGTTTTTTAAGAGAATGAGAGAGAGTTTATATCTGAGAATGGTGAAAAATTAGGTTTTTGGAGAGAGAAAGGTACTTATATGAGGCCTCAAGTGTGTTTAGAAAATAAGCTTATCCCTAACTGTGATTAAAAGTTTGTTACAAAATGGTTTTGAGTTTGTTACAAGGTTTGTTACACTTGCAAAATGAATTTCAATGAAGGCTCGGGTTTTTGCTTTGTAAATGGAGGTTTTGGTTTGGTGTGGGAAGCAATGGCTTTAGCTGAGCATATGAGTTGGCAAAGAATCAACTTAGTGAGCAAGTTTACAAAAGATGCTTTTTTTCTTTCTATTTTTGGCCAAAAACAAATGTGTGTGTATGCATGGTAGGTAGCATGTTGGTTCATTTAGGGCATGACTTGAGTGATGTAATGCGTGGGTGGATGATTTCATACCCCAAATTTTCCCTACCTCGACGATTATATTTTCAAAATTTAGATAGAAAAAATATTAATTAAAGATGGTACAACAGTATCTGGATGGCCCATCTTTATCCAAGACTAGGGGTGTATTTTAATTTAGGAGAGTGAGGTTTTCTAAATCAGAAAGACTCGTGAACCCATTCGCGAACCATGTTGACCAATGGCCCATGCAATTCGAAAATGGAAAACTATTCAAATAATTATTAAGTTTTAAACCCATTTTAGTGTTAATATTATTAGTAAAGGGGGAGGTTGAGATGTCAATATACAAGTCCATTAGAATTGGGTCAATTAACGTTTTGGTTGTTGTTAGAAAAAAGAGGGTGTGGTTGAGGCCCATTGAATTTTTAGTCAAGTCCGTTTAAGTATATTAGTTGCTAGTAAAAGAAAAAAGATTGAAATTGCAATGCAAAGCCCATCAGGATTTAGTATTTTGTTACACGTTGTTGGATCAAATAAATAAAATACCTTTTTTGTTAAAAACATAACATATTTTTTGTTTTGCTGATAAATCCTTTTGGTTAGATACTATCTAAGTTTTTGTTGTTTCAAAAAAAAGTCAATTGGGGCTTGGGTTTACTAAAAAACATCGTTGTGAATAAAAATAATAATGTTGTTGGGCTGAGTGAAAGTTTTGTTTGGAAATATTAGATTAGGCCAGTTGTATTAAGAGAACATTTTTATAACAAAAAATATGTTGCTGGGATGAAGTAGAATTATTAACGCGCAAGGCTCAATGGAATTAAAAAACAAGTACTGTAGTAATCGAGTTAGTGCAATACGGTATCCATCAGTACAAACCAAATGCATGAACAAGTTAAATTCTTATTACAAATCTACACAAGGCTTAACTACATAAACGAATTTCAAACTAAAAACAGCACAAGGGGAACGGGAAAAAAACATTACAGAAGAAAGAAAAGGAAAAGGGGCCCTCAATCATTGCCAACGACTCAGATTCGACGAGCCGCTGAAGCCTCCTCTCGTCATCCATCCACCACGGTTCAACTCCAGCCACCACACGCAAGACTACTGCTCCGCTTCAGTACCTCCATGACCAAACTGCTGTAGCCAGCGACACTCCAATCTCGCAGCAACCCATATCGCGGCCCTCCAACCTCCTATCCATATTGCGACCCAGCTCTGAAGAAAATATGCTCTAACACTGTCGGAGATCGTCGGAACATCACCGATCTTTCTCCCAACCATGAATCCATGAGCTGCTCCAGTCTCGGCACCATATCCATCAGGTGCTTCTTTTCTTTTTATCTGGTGTTTGATGTAGCTTTAGTATTGTTTGGTTTTCTATCTTCTTGATTTTCCATGACTCTAATTTAGAATATTTGAAGGAAGAAGAATTTGTTGTTCTTTCTGCTTTTTTAGATACAGTAGAGAAAGAGAGATAAAACTGTGTGTCATTGAAAAGGAGAAAGAGTTTGTGTTTTGCTTTTATGTGTTATATTAATTTTAAATTCATATTCCCCTTTGTTTTGTGTGGTCATGACAATTAATATTAAATATGGACCAAGTAATATGTATGACTTGCATTCTTGAATCTAGAAACTAGTTATTTTTATTTTAATCTCTTACCGTTATTTTTCTAGATAAATATTCCTTATATTGTTATAAACAAAAGGAATCAGAAATTGATAGCATGATAAGAGAAAAGGCATTTACACTTTGTTTGTTATTTGATGTTGCATATATATTACTATCTTTTTTCTTATTTTCCTTTATATTATTATTTAATGTAATGCCACGTGTCTTAATCATATTGGTCAAATTTTATATAAAAAAAAGAGATAACAAAGTATTTTGGAAAAATTATGCGGTGATACTGAACGTAACGACACTTCCAATATATTTTAGGTTAAGTGATTTTAACTTTTGGATTTAGTATTAACATGTGGTTTAAGCCCATTTAGCTATTATTACATATACTCTATTTTTATTAAATCGCCACTCCTCCTAAATAATAGAATATTCATCTTCGAGTAATTAAATCGGTCGACACACCGTCTATCGATTTATTATTAACAATTAAAAACCATACAACTCACAAATTATTACGTCCGCGAGCGACACATGACCAATATCTGACCACGTGATGGAAAGACTATATCAGACTCCTTTACTTTACGTATAAAAAAATACTCGAGCGAACACCAAATTATTTTTCGTAATAAATTAATCGAGCAATTAATTTTCAAAAAGGAATGCGAGTATATTTAAATTAACTTATGTATTTGATCTAACAAACTCCGCTATTCGTACTCTTAGACCACGTATGTGGGAAATCTAAAATATATTTTGCAATCCGTAAAAAATACAAACAACACGGTGAACTACGAAATGTGACTTTGATTCCTCCTAAGAGGATACGTAGGCATACAATCAAAAATAGTTATGAGTCCTACTAACTAAAATTCAAACCATTTTCACAAATTAATCAATTAAAACCCTATTTCCTAAACATCGCGCTTCTAAACTTAGTATCCTTGTGAACAAGTTAGACAAGGGGTGCCTAACACCTTCCCCTCGTCTAAAACCGAGTCAAACTTAGAATCTCTGAATTTCTTTTAAGGTTATTCCTTTATACTCCCTTCCTTTAGGATAAAAAGGGTGGCGACTCTAATTTAAAAACCAGTTGCAACAGCTGGCGGCTCTGCTGGGGACTCAACTCTAGGTTTAGAAGCCTTATCTCTCGGTTTTAGGGTTTTTAGGGTTTTCTTGTTTATTGAGTTTTTATTTCTTGATTATTTAATTATTTATTTAACTGCTTATTATTTTTATTCATATTATTTATATATCTATGGTGGGATTTAAAAATTCTGCAATATTATTCTCAAAACCCTTAGAAAGAAGGTTCGTCTATTAGCCAAAGGGTTACATCAACCCTATTAGTTTATGTGACAACTTCGCCTAGAGCCGGTGGAATTCCACAAAAGGAATACCTCTCGAGAGACATCCTCTTGGGAAGTAGGACTTTGGAATGATACATATGACTCTTTGTACGACCTTTAAACCAAAATCTCGTGATGAGACCTTTCATGACCTAGAGACGAAAGTTTCGGTCTGTAAAGAGACTTCGCTTAAGGGAGGCCCTTATGCCTTTACCTCTAGCGTTATTCATGATACCCTTAAGAAAACCACCTTACGGGGAGGGTAGAATATCCGTAGGCCAATACTAAGAACCTACCTTCTAACGATACCTTTCACAAATCCCACTACAATCTGAAAACTTGCAAGGGTTATCCCTTCATCCACTACTGTTTTTAGCCTGTAGGACTTCCGTCCAAATCATAAACCCTAGCTTGTAGGAACTCCTCGTGGTCTTTCATTTGCCATAATCCTTAGGGGATTCCTCCCCGTCTCAATCTCTGAGATAATGTAGGATATTATCAAACTTATGTCTATTATAATCCTCAAAGAGTTTCTGCATGTCTCAATTTCTGAGTCAGTGTAGGGTGTCATCTTGTCTACCATTAAACCTATATAGGGTACCCCTACGTCTATCATCATATTACGACTATGTCGCATTGCATATCCATGAAACATTTTTAAATACCCAAGCTTTTTCATACATTTTCATTCTTCAACCATCTGCATGAAACTCATATCTCTTCCTCTCATAGAAAACTTCCAACCATAGTCCAACAAGGTGATTCCCAGATACTCAGAACCAACTCGAGATAGCTCACGAAGCAAGTGTAAAGTTAGCTACAACAATGGAAGAAGATCAACAAGCCATAATTGAAGGCATCATTGCACCTCAAGAAAACACTCAGGCTAGACCTCATCCTATACAAGCTTCAATGGAGAACCTTGTTGTGCAAGAACATGCAGTTTTTCGAGACGGGTATACTCCATGCCATGAATCTATTGAGTATCATCAATTTTCATTCCCTACGCAAAAATCTCAAGAAGGAGACCTAATCATGAACATTAAAGAACCCTAAAATCTTGAGGACACCAAAAGGTACATGTTGTACCCCAAAATTTTCCCTCTCATGTTTCCCAAGGTTTTTTCTCTTATATGGGTGGTTACAAACACTTTCCTAAAGAAAATAAATTTTTTCAATGTTAGTAAAGTGTATTTCGATTGGCAGTTAAATGGTGCCCTTCGATTGACATAACAACAAGCTTCAACTGGACTCCTAAAACCCTTCGACCAAGCATTAGCCCATCAGCTTCGATTGTGCGTTGGTTTCCCTTTGAACAAGCCTTGGTCCAAGCTTCACAAGCAAGAATCCTCTACAAGTTTGCTTCGATTCACCAACAATGAACTCCTGCATACAAGCTTCAATTAGGCGCTGAATCCCCTTCGATCAAGTTGATTTCACAATGTCTTCGATGGAGCGTTGGGTCTCCTTCGGCCAAGCTTGGTTCACAAAGCTTCGATTGTGCATTAGCTAATTTAGGCTTGCATTCGATTCACAAGGTAAGAAGCCCCTACAATACCCTTTCAATTCACCAGCAGTGGCATCTATATGCAACCTTCGACTCATTAGGCAAAGGCCTCTTCATGCTTGCCTTGGATTCGCTAAGTCAAAGGCTTCCCCCAACCGGCCTTCGATCCACAAGGAAGAGGCTTCCTCAGACTTGTCTTAAACTCACAAGGGCAAAGGCTTCTTCTATAATTGACTTCAATGCAAAAGGCAAAGACTTCCTCTGTGCTTGCTTTCAATGCATAAGGCTAAGATCCCTCAACATAGTTTCTGCACTATCACACACGATATGACCCCTTCAAAAGAGTACTCCAAAGGCCCATTCTAAGGACACACATTAGTGGCCCATTCGAAGAGGGCACAAGGCATACATATGGACTATTTGAAAGACACTCAAAAAGTCCATTCGAATGAGGCAACAAAAGGCTCATTTAAAGGGTACACAAAGGGTCCATTCGAAGAAACATTCAAAAGGCCCATTCGAAGGATATACAAGAGATCCAATTGAAGGGTAGGGACTAAAGGTATTCGAAAGTCAAAGGTGTCCAGGTTAATAGCAAATTCAAAAAGGGACAAGAAACCATGTCTTTGGCAAAGTTTCAAAGTGACATTCATGGCCTTTAAAACACCAACTTAATGGATGTTTATTCCTTTGTCCTCTTGTCCCCTCCATCCCCACTATATAAGGAGCACACTAGCAAGCTTAGAAGGGAGGACGAAAAAAAAGGGAGACATACACGCACACATTACCTCATAAGCCATACTAAAGCCATCAAAATTATCATAAGTAATCCCAATCGAAGAAACTTTCAGCAACGTTCCCAATCACTTCCTGAAGTCTGCAGGGAGCGTTCCCAAACACTAGCCAACAAACGCCCAGAAGTGCCAAATCGAAGCCTCCCATCGTTGGTAAACTTTCAAATTCATGTTTATGATTTCATAATGTATTAATGTTTGTTAAATGTTTGATTCACGCTCAGGATATCATGTAACTCTATTCGATTCGTATTCATAGCTAAGGGTCTGGGTTCAACTCCAGGTCCATATTTTGTTTTCCTTTTCCTCGACGCCCATACTGCAGATCTGGCCTAAATAAACCAATGCACGTAGGATCGAAGGACCTGGGTTCGACACCCAGGTCATATTTTTTGCTAATATTTGTCTTGCAAGTCTAGATTGAGAATCCCTTCCTTCCCCAGATCGAAAGGAATAACTTCATCCCCTAGATCGAAGAAGATATCTTCCTTCCCTGGATCGAGAAAGACATTTTCTCTTCCTGAGTCGAAAGAACCATATCTTTCTCAGGATCGAAAGACTGTTCCTCCTCTGGATCGGAAAAAAAGCCTCTACATCATTTTCTTATTTTTTTGTTTTTACTTATTTCTTTTATTTTCTTGCCTCATGTTTTATTAACATTAAAACCAAAATCCCAAAAAATATTAAGTTAATTTTTTTTTAATTAAACTAATTTTGTAAATAAATTAAATAAATATTTTAACTATTTTCTTTAATTTAAAATGAATTAGAACTTAGGACTTGATTTAGCTTTAATTATTTTCTTTTCATAATAAAAACAACAAGAACTTAGATTTCTTTTAGTTAATCTTATTTTCTAATTAAATT